AGCCACACCAGGCACCGAGAGGAGGTGTGGGATTGCAGGCATGTGCCATCAGATTGTCTGCCTATCCCAGCTCTCACACTCACCAGATATAATGAATGTAATCAGCAGTTGGCACAAGCCGGCACTGGCACCCATCACATTTAGAAGTAGCGCTATCTATCTATCTATCTATCCGTCACTGAAATGAATGGAAATGAGAAGGATCAGTTAGGATAGAATCTCATTGTTTTGGTAACGTATTTATTTTCCAAACAGCTTCCAGTTATAATTGTACATTACGTTTTGGCATCGGGGAAGATGAAATACAGCGAGCCGATGCTGCCAGTAAGTGCGTACACTTCACTCCCAGCTGAAGCATTTAGGTGTCAAATTAATTAATCCTCATCCTCCTCTGAGAGAGAAGAAGCCTGCCAAGTGCAGCCTGCACTGCTGGTTACCAACATCAAATAAATGCATTTGGTTATCAATGTAAAAATAAATGTGCATCTCAAAGTCGAGATCAGTATTCATATATTCCATTTACTTCATCTTTCTTCATTTGCATACATCTGTAAGGGGCTGCTTAGTCAAAATTTTTTTCCTTTCTAACTATCTCATCTTATAACCTGATAGCTCTAGTTGCCCCAGTTTTAAATGATTATTTACTTCCCACATAAACATGCATATTTTGCAATTTAACCAGTCCAAAAAAATCAGCTCCAAAACAACAAAAAAACAGCTTTTAGCATTGTGGTTGTGTGAAATCAAAGACCTGCTTATCCTGCCTTTGAGTAAGTGGCTGGCAATTTGCGACCGCAATTTGATATGGCTAATTTGTGCAGGCCCCATGCCGAGTTCGTCTGCTCGGATGTTTGTGCTTTGAAGGCAGGGGTCACCCTGAAACATCCACAGAGATTGCTCTTCCACCCAGGGGGTAGCCATTTTGGGGAACTGATGTTCCGTGCACTCTGAAGTCGTCGCATCCCCCTGCAAATGGCAGCTGTGATTGTAATGCTTATCTTAAGTCTCTTCATCTTTGGCAAAGAATAATTAACAGCGAACATGAGGAGTCTGTCTGCTGCTAAACTGTAATTACAAGTCCCATTACTCCAAGGGGGCGTTCAGAGCAATTAGCATTCCTCACTCAGCCGTCTGAAAAAGTACGATGAGAGCAGTTTGTTCAGTTTTGATACTATAGTGTTCTCAAGAACTCCCAATAAAAATATTCTACTAAACATTCAACTTTCCTTTCAGGTTTACCAGTTTGGGTACAAATTGAAGTAATTGCCAGTACCGCCCCTATTCATGGAAGTGAAGAGTCATATCGAGCTGCATTATGCATAAAAGCGTCAAAGCACTGAAATGATCATCAAGACGGTAGAAAGAGAACCACTTGGAATACTTTTATGAAGCATTTTTGAAGATCTTAAGGCTTTTAAGCCATTTGGGGAAATGAACCAGAACTAAAATATATTTATCCTCTTGGCCATACGTGAATCTGTCGTTTCAGGATGAGGGTGTCAGCTTGCAACAGTATTAGTACTATTACATCTAGACCCACTTATGTAATATCCTTCAGACCTTCCTGGCTAGATATCCTCCAGAGTTGCCCTTTCTCCGCTTGCTAATTTACTGAAAACCCTCAGGGACACGTGTGTTAAAATCAACCCCGAAAACAACAGCACTGCTCAATCCTCAAGGGAAGCCATTAAGCTCATCCAGAAACAAACTTATGCTGTAGAGATTTAAGAAATACTGCAAAATGTCCACATTCCTGGTTCCTATCTCAAGATTGGAGTTTGAACAGGACATCCACTTGTATGCTGTTTTCACCACACAGACTGTCAAGTTGTCCATACCGAGAGAGGCCTTTGCACTTCTCATTAAATGTGTTCATGCAGATCCAATGTGCTATTCATCCTCCCTCAACTCAGTTCACAAAGCTCCTTCCATTTGAATCTCCTCTCCTGCCAAGCCAGATCACCCAATTTGAACTAAGCATCCTGGTGCTGCATATGGCCATAGCTGCTTTCCTATGAGCTGGGCCAAGAGAGCTTTTGTATTTATTCTACGGATGCCATTTGAGCACCGTGGTTCTCTCTCTCTGCCGATGTTTGATTTGGCAGTTCTGCTATTTTCCAGCTGCACATTCTGCACAGACCTTTGTGTCCTTGTTTGTTTCACTACTCTAATCACATTTTAATTACTTTTCCCCTGTCACAGATGGCAAACAACCGCATCAAGCCACAGTTCAGTTTATGTGTGTGAATCCCCCCGTGAACGGATCGGCTACCTAGCAGTCGGGTAGGATTGATGCAAATAATTTTGCAACAAATTTGCTCTGGAACTTCAGGGCAGCTAGCTGAAATGAGGGTGATGCAACGATGTTCCTTTGAGTTAATGCCACACAGTGAGAGGTGGTTTTTAGTTCCTGATGATGAGCTGGCACCTAAATTGGTATGCTCACAGAGTTTTTGTTTTATTATTCTTGCCAAGGAAAGAGAAACAGGTGGGTGTTTGCCATCTGTAGAGTAGAAACACCTGCTCTGTATAATATAGAAGAAGTCTTTGCATTATATCTATTTGTAAAGTCAGTGAACACAACATTTTTCTTGTGCTTGCTTTGTCATCATTGTTAGGAAATTACCATGCAACATATTCAGAGTTATATGCATCATGGCCATGCCTGCAAAACTCTTTTTTTTAATTGAATTGCACGGCATGTACCACTTCCTGCACCAAATAATATAATGAATCAGTCATTCATTAAAATCAAAGTTATAGCAGGAATTTAAAGAAAAAGGTCTGAATAGTGCTACTATACTGAGTACAAGCTGCGTACAAGAGTAGAGAGATAATTATGGACGAAGAAGAGTCAGAAATACATAGCATGCTGTAGTTAAAAATTAATGTTGCTGAATGTAATGACATAAAGTATAATTGCCTCTATTGAAATTTTTCCATCAAAACATTTTTGCAGCACGCCCACACTGTGTTCTTTCAAATAAATGATCATAAAATCATACATTTTCAAACGTAGTAGTCAACAAAAGTCTTCTCTCATATTCAGACCGATGCTACAAATTTGCTGATGAACATTGTAAAATCCATTACCCATAATTTAGTCACACCAATTGAAATTACATCATTTTTTCTGCCTGTAATGTAGAAAACCTCACACTACAATTCTGCATTTAGTTATGCTTTAGTTTTTTACTTATTTTTTTAATCACTTTATAATTTGAACCAGTCACTACCATAGTTTTCATTGATCATTAGATGCATTAATAACTCAGCCACACCCATCAATACAACAGAATTCAATAAAACTCAGAACAAGATGAAAACACTAAACCATTTTTCTCCCACCAAACACAACTAAAAAAATAATTAACCACTGGTTGTGGTTGTGAGAGTAGAGATTCTAGAGCACATCAGATATCCTGCATCATAGGATTGGTGTCCAGAATTTACTGCATTGTAAATTATTTCAGTAAACAACTGTATATAAACCTGTCTAATAGTTTTACAGTTTTCTGCAGCAGCCTATATGGCATTCTGGGAAAATAGTTACTACTGCTGGGAGATTATATTGTATCAAAGTACACTATCAGTCAAAAGTTTGGACACATACGCTCATAGAAGGGTTTTCTTAATCTTTACCTTTTTTTTTTTACTATTTTTAGAATAATAATAAAGGCATTAACACTATGAAATAACACATATTGAATTACGCAGTAGCAAGGAAACATGCTCTAACTATTTTACATTTTAACACATCAAAACTACTTTATATTTTAAATTACTTACAGTATTGCTGATGAAGCTTTTCACACACTTCTCTACTAGGAGGCTTTTCTTAAAATTCCCAGATAGACTTGTCCTTGCTGCTTCTCCTATGCTTAAAATGAATGTTTACGGAAATAATTTAACTTAAAGTAAAAACCTCTTTAAAAATTTGTACTGATTCAGAAATACATAGGCATTAGCTTCACTATTTAGAAACTAATAAGAAACAGACTCCAACCATAAGCCTTCATCAGCATGTCTATCAAAATGTAATGTACCTTACTGTCTAGCTACTGTAACATTTCTGTGTCTTTACTGTATAATTAATTATTGAAAACTAGATGACAAATACAGTGAATGTGAATACCTATATTGCAACGAGTACAATGAAGTGTGTAGTTCCCCATCACGCTACTGTACGCACATAAATAAGAAAAGAGATATAATTTAAAAAAAAAATATGCAAGGAGTGAATTAGCTATTAGCTAAAGTCTTCCATTACTTTATATTCCTAACTTACAATAGCATAGTTGCAACAATGTCAGTGAACCAGGGTGTGTGCAATAGGTTTAAACCAGAGCTAATACAGAAGAACCGTTAGTCTAGCTAGATAGCTAATGTTCTCTAGTCTAGCTAACTATTAGCCTGTTGGTGTAAATAAATAATGCTTACAACTACAGTAGGTATATAAATATAAATTCCATATACAATTATAAAGAACTTTCAATCGAAGACTAGCTTTTCTAACTGCTAATGAGTTATGCTATATTTACACTGTGCACTTAGATAGTGTTTCAGCCCCTGCTGAATTAAAACATTCTAATACCTAGCTAGCAAAATTAGGAAACTACTTTCCATTACTTGGAACGCTACTGAAATGAAATGATTTCTTTGTTGTACACATTTTTTTAGATACATTTTTAGATTTTTTTTTTTTTTTGGCTCTTTCAAATTTAAGATGTATATTTTTAAATAACATAATTAAAGTAGTAGTAAAAGTATAAAACTACAGCAATCATTTTTAGGCTAATACTCTAACAAGTATGTTGTTCTTCTTCTTCTTTCAGCTGCTGCCATTAGGGGTCGCCACAGTGGATCATTGGTCCGCATATTTGATTTGGCACAGTTTTTACATCGGATGCCCTTCCTAACACAGCCCTCCCCAGTTTTATCTGGGCTTGTGACCGGCACTGGGAGTGCACTGTCATTGCAGCCCCAGTGGCTGGGGTCAGTTCCGAGACCAGGAATCGAACCCAGGCCATGGTGGTGAGAGCGCCGAGGCCTAACCACTAGTCATCCAGGGACCTACTCTTACCAGTATGTAGTCCTGTACAAATACAACTATGCACTTGTTTCAAAACTACAGTATAACTTGCCAAACAGACATTAGAGTAAAGGGCTATAAATATTCATTGCCTTTCAACTGCTATTAAGATACCACAGATTTACCGAGTCATTTTTTACAGTATAGTGTCAGTCATTTGCATCAGAGTCTTTTCCTGTTATAACAATATTGAAAGAAAGAAATATTGAGAAAATCTCAATCCAGCTGACCATGAAAATTGTTTCTGTTGATAAAATCGTGACTCTGGGTTGCACACTTGGGGTATTGATGACCATATAATGAAAGTATATAATATATGTAATTACATATATTATATTACATATAATATATGTAATTTTTCCCCCATTTTCTCCCCAACTTGGTCATCTGCTAATTCAAACCCACTAGTTAACTCTCTCCATCACACGACAGCTAACTGCCAGGGGGAACGAAGGCTAGCATATTCTTCCTCTGAGATACATGAAGCCAATCTCCACATCCAAAAGGTCACTTTCAGCCTAAGTGTCTAAAACTAGAACTGAAATTCATTTACACAAATTCATATTAAGTATATTTTGTAATGACTGCATCATTTTAAGCATAGATGTTTGTTTAGAGCATCTGATGTAATTATAAAGTCACCTTCCCACCAAACCAGCATTGTAACATATTTTCAGAGCTCATCACTGCAACAAAAACATAATGATGGTGCTTTGAATTTTAATTGGTTTATACAAAAAACTGAGTGAGCATTGTGATGGTTTGGCATGGTAATTCTGTTTTCATTTATTGTCACTTATTTATGCATTCATCCTTTTAAAATGCATTTTGCATAAGAGCTTTGCAAATAAGGGACTGAAATAATATGCCACATCAAATACTCCACAAGCCCGTAGCCTAGCACAACAGCCTTTGAGGAGCCGAGCAGAAACAGTGGCTGATAAGAAACAGGGCGGTTCTAGCAACGACACCAAATTAGCATCCAATTTCACAATAAGTCCATATCACAGATGACAAGCAGAAAGACCTACTGTGGCACAGACATCATTTCGCCTGCAATCCTAATGTCTGACAACCCACATAGCTATAATAGGACAGAAGTTGGGGGATGGGAAAAATCCAATTTGAGCCCAAGACGTGTGGGACAGGTCCACCTTAGCACTCTGGCTCAGTTCAAAGGGACGTGTCGGACACGAATACAATGAGGGTGCTGTCACGCTGACATTTCTCCGGGTGAGAGTCCATGCTACAAGAGATGGATATGTGATATGGGAGTGAGTAATGGAGGGCTGCATCTGCAGCATTTGTCACCTGTGCTTGTCCATGCAGTATGCGAGCTAACAGATTGCAGAGGATATCACACACTGCATGTCATTAATCTCTGTAAAAACAACAAAGCACACATTTTCAGCGGCACCAAGACACTGGCACCTGCTTCTGGTATTTAGATTTATGTTGAGCGTCATGATGAATCACTGATAATACTGAACTCATGAAATATCTAAGCCATCCTTACATCCACAGTGGTGCAGATTGCCCAATCATATAATTATGCTTCCAGTATTAAATATTTTGTTGCAAATATAGTAGAATAATATAGGACCCAGAGGAAAAGAGAATACAGTACAACAGAAACATCTACATGTTACATTTTTGTTCAGACAATGTCCATTTATTGCAGCCTTTTAAACCAAATAGCACTTCGAAACAGCATGAACAATTTGGTAAAATTGAGAGCAATTTGAACAGCTTTACAAGGTAGCTTTTAAATAAGACACATGGGCCGGGCCTTTCTATTACTAAATATTGCATGCTGAAATGTTCATGTTCCCAGTGGACAGACACCAATCGGCAATGATAATAAGTGAATTATGCATTGGATCCAGCAAACACCTCTTACTGAGGTCTCATCAAAAAAAAATCTCCCAACACCTGCCAAAAAGTGGGATAATCAGAGTGCTTCTTACTGTGTAATACAAATAACATTGCCAAGCTCAACAGAAAAAATGTCAGTTATATTTCCTGTTTGGTAGAGAGCAAGAAGGCTTGCACAATAGAACAGGTTTAAGGTCATGTAATGAGAGCCAGAGATGCTTGTAAGTGCAGCCTTTATTCTGGCTTATCCAGAAATCACGCTCAAATTTCTCATGGACCAGAAAGACAGGCTGCTGTTAGAATCAGACAATATTGAAAACATGGTGAGAAAATGTGAACACAAAAGCGAGTAAAACTAGTTACTGAGAAATGGAAAACTATGATCATCTCGAAAAGAATGAACTAGTAACTAGAGAAACCACGATGAGTGTCAAATCATAAACCATGTGTTAGGTTGGGAATAAAACATGACAAGGCATGCTGTTATAGGAAAACAATCAATGACAGGGTGGTTATAAACGGTTATAAAACAACTACACCTTCACCAACCTCTCTTTTTTTCACTCTCTTGAAGATAGTGGTATGAACCATAAATAACAACACATTTGAACCCATTCATTAATGGATTACACAGCGCATCTGCCATAAAAGTTCCTCTGAATGAGTGGTTACTATAGCAACAGTAACGTATCTGAAAAAGCACATCAATATAAAACTGGGGTTTTAGTTATATCTGGCACTACTGTCAGAGGTGCTGCTATAGAAGATTAATCAAAACCTTCTGACCAATCAGATTTCAGAATTCACCAGCACTGTGGCATAAGATCATAAGATCAATAATATGGATTTTCACAGGACAGTACTATCTGGAACCAAATCCTAACATTTTTTTACTTTACAAAAATGACAAAATTTTTGTTTTTTTGTAATGTTTCCCATGGTGTAGCCATTATCATGCTCAATGTGTCAGCCGAAAAATTCAATCCATAGCGATCAATGTGTTTTATGACATGGTTAAGGAAACCAAGGAAAGAGGCTTTAAATTGTAAACCTGTATCCTATGATGAAACTTTTCTATTACGATGGGAGTGGTCTCTTCCAGGATGACCCCGCCTCCATCCACACGGCACTAGGACTCAAAGCTGACAGAGTACTACCACAGTGCACTAGTCAATTTGTGTGCA